ATTCACTTGATACAGTTAATACTTCACCATATTAGACATAATTTTGTCAGTATTTTGCCTATTTTCTTCTATTACTGTTGTGTCTCAGAAGATGTCTATTATGTATGCAACCTAATCAATATACACTGTGTTCCAAAAACAATATTAAAACCCATACCTTCATTAATCTGAAACCTATTGTATGACTTTAAGATAAAACTCATACATATGGTTCCTGAGAAAATATTTTAACTAAGATTGCATGTCAATAAAATTAATCATGTCTAATAATCCATGTCTCGGGCTGGTGAGATGGCTCAGTGGTCTAAAGCACCTACTTGGAACAAGCTTAGCAAACACAGGGACCGCGGTTCAATCCCCCAGCACCACATGCCAGCCAGCCCCGCCCCCATGTGGGAAATGTCCCACATGAGGTCACTGAGAGGTAAAATAGCCCTATCTGAGGGCACAGGGAGTGTCACCCCCAGCAGCTGTTTGACTGGGTCATTCAGCATGAGTTCACTGCTTATGAAAAAACAAGCTATTTCATTGTTTAAATTATTCTTTCATCAAACATTTTTGAATGTTTACTTTGTGTACTGCTGTCTGCTATCATGTGCTTTTAAAATATTACATGTCTGAAGTACTAATAGTTCATGAATATTATTATTATTTCACTAAGTTCCCCACAATATTCCATGAGAGAGAGAGTGCGCGTGTTATGATCCCAGTAGACTGCACCAGGGTCTCAGAGCTATTCACAAGCCCATGAGCAAGGGCGACATCCAGATTACCTAAATCTACCACTCTATAAAAAAGAGTAAAGAAATGGGGAATACTTATATCAAAAATAAAGCTAAGTACTTATCAAAAAAAGTTACTGTGGCTATAGAGAACATTGATACCCAGGTTGTCGAGGCGATCAGTACCAATTAAAGAAGTATTCCTCTTGGTTGAGAGTACACCGTAGTGCCCTTTACCAGATACCATTTATTAAGCACTTATTGTGTTCCATACACTCTTATATGGGCTTTATTCTCATTATCACACTGAAACTCTCATAAAATTTCTGAGCAGTACAGCAATTTTACAAAGTTCAATATCTAACAATTGGTAGCAAAAGGATCCGCACAGTTCTGTACCATTCCCTGGGTAGATTCCATGTACCTGTACTTTTCTCTGCTTCTTCCTGTATAGTCTGCTTTTTCCTTCATTTCTTTGTGAAAATAATTAAAGGGTAGGAAGAGGAACTGTCAGCCACAGAGGAGGGCTGCTATGCGCACAGGCATTAGCTTCATTAACAATCAGCAGCTGCACTACTTTCTGGTGTGGCTCTGGGAGAGCACGTAGTGGACCTTGAAGGTCACTTTCTCAATTAGTGAGTGCCACTTTAGAGACATGAGCCAGGTGGCACTGCAACAGGACAGGAGCACATCAAAGGAAGTCAAGGAAGAGTCCAGAATGTCTTGCCCAATATGATGGCATTTGAGCTGTGCCTCAGTGTCTGTGGTCAAAGACAAGAGAAAGAACGGGTGCAGCAGAACAAAAGGCTGTGCGAAGGACAGTCATGGGAAGGCTTCCTCAGCCAGGCAGCTCTGAGGTGGACGCTGGAGAACGCACGGGATCCATTTGCAGGAGGAGCACGGATGCCTTGTGACCCTTGTCTGCCACAATGAGCTGGACCTTTTTCTGAAGGCGGTAGGAATCAGGAGACACTGAACAGCAAAGATAAATGAGCTTCTGGGTCTTAGGAATAGAACTGACAGCGTTCTGGTGGATGAGCAAGACCTTTAGTCCAGATAAATGCTGCTAAAGAAGAGGATTTGGGTAGAAAGACAGCATTTTCTGTTATTTCAAAGTTGTAAATAAAAGTCAAGATAATGTAGCAGCTGTTCTAACGACATTGCGTGACTAAAGAATGGAAACGAAGGACTCAGACAGGCCGCTCTGCTCCCGGCCTCTGTCTTAAACATTTGTGTATTTAATCGCACACGTTTAACTCCCACCAGCGGGGCATTGCCCTGCTGAGGCGGGAGCGCTGTGTAGGTAGGCACTGGCCAGGGGAAGCTTATGTGAAGCAACAGGTAACAGGTTTATTTACACAGGTGAAGAAAGCAGGCGTAGAAAAAGACAGAAAATAAAGCAAATGTCAAAGTAAACAGGAAAAGAAGGACTAAATCCTAAGAAATGAGAAGGAGAAAGGAGGCTTACGTTTAAGAAAGCAGGTCTCTGCTGTAAGTAAGCGTTTCATTAGAAGCGCACTAAGTCGCGGCGGTTCCTCTCGGGCGCCGCGCGCCGCCGGCTGGGATTGCGGATAATGGGCTCCCAGGTGAATTCTTCTCATTACTCCTCCTGCAAGAACAGTAAATCTGCCGAAAGGGTAATTTAGGTTTAGTGTTCACAAACCATGCATTTTACCTTTAATCTTCCCTGTTTAGGATTTGAAAAATATGATGCAGATGTAATCCAAAAGCAAAGGGCGGTTCCGAATGTGGTGATTTTAACTCCTCCAGTAGCCATTTAATCGGCAGCTGCGCAAAGGCGCGTGCGCCTGCCCCTCGTGCCGGAGCCGGTGCTTTCTCCAGTGTGGACAGCGCTGCCCACTGCTGGCGCGGGCACCACGGAAAGGCAGCGAAGCCACGACCACCTACTGCTTGCCCGCCTGACTATGTGGACGTCTATGTGATTTTTAACAAAGATTCTTCATCCTCTTATGTATCGCTTCAAATGTAATTCCAGAGAAAAGGAAAGGCTTGAGGACTCTTTTTCAAGATAAAAAGAAACAAATTACCAGGGAGGAAAATGTTGGTGAAATGACAAACCAATTATTTAACTGGAAGAACATAATGCTACTAACTATTGTTTAACTACAACTTTAATCAATGCTTTATATCAGCAATTCACTGTTGCCAAATTGCTACTATTATGGTTTGTGGTACTATATTAAAAACAAGCAAAAGACTATAGCAAAACAACAAAAAAGTGCCAGAAGCCTTTTATTCAGGTATTGTTATTGAAAAAATTAAATCCTCCTTAATTTTCAGTATCCTTTCCTGATACTTCCTATCAGAAATAGGTCTCCTTAATGTGCACAGGGGTCCCTGATTAATTTAACTGAGTACCCCCATAAAATGAGCCCTTCAGGAATCTGGGAGGACATAGGCAGGTGAACCCCCCCCATACACGTTGTGATAAATATGTAAGAACCCATTCAAACAATATTGAATTATGCTGATTTAAAACTGATTATGCATACAGTTTGCCTTTTTTCTTATATATAAAGATCAAAGTTTTCTTCAAAGATTTGAAAGTGATCACTTAGTCTAATGAAAATGAGTTGATTGTCTTTTAGAATTTGAGAATAACAACATATCCTAAGGAAATTAGCAGCATAGGACATTCTTGGACAAATATCACATTCTATGAAATAATTGTTATGACATTTTAATGCATTCTCACCATGAAGCATTTCCTTGTAAATGACTAAGCTAGATCATGTCTTAACAATTATTTCATAAGAGAAAACTTCAGTGACCTTAGAAGTTCTTACCACAAGGTGAACAGGAAGGGCAAAAACTTAAAACAACAGCAAGCAACAGTCTTTTCATGACAGATAATAAATGAATCAAAAGAAAAGTATAGCGTTTCGTAAAAAATCTCATAATAATTTCCCATCCTTTCCATGATACCAGGAGAAAACAAAAAAAATTTCAAGGGAGTTCTAGAAATTAAATTGGTTCTCATAAGGTTCAAAAAACCCATTGATCATTTCAACATAAAGGCCAACAATAATATTCTCAAGTAATTCTCGCAGGGCTGGGGAGATAGTTCAGCAGAATAAGCACTTGCCTGGCAAGCACAGGGTCCTGAGTTCAATCCCCAGTACTGCAAATAGTAATAATTTAATAATAATAATAATAATTCTCAGGAGACTGCCTTCTAGGAAGACTTTACTTTCTAAGGTAATTCAAGTTCATTCCACCAAAAACCAAAAGATATCTTATAAGGGTGACTCTCAATGACTTTCACTGAATGCTTTTTATTGTATCTAGTTATTGTTGGAGAAACATTTATTAATGTGAAGATATCATTTGGAGCCACATATATCTTGAGATTGTTGCAGTTTTGCTTTATCTTTGTAGAAAAAAATCATGCGTTATTATAAATACCAGATCTGTATATCATCTCAATAAATCTCTTTTGTGATAGTGTCAACAAAAGTCCTAAGTGAATAATTAAGGGCTTGTATCAGTCATTTTGAAGTAGAGGATCGTCACTGATCCCGTGAACAAAAACACCTATAAGATACCCTGCCTGGTATTTATTGATTTCCTTAAATGCAGTATTCTTTAACTGTGTTTTAATCATCTTTCTTCCCAAAAGAATCCAGTGTTTTGAGCCTCCTTCATGTTTTGTAACCACATTGACAGAGATTTAGGCTGACCTGCTCCCTGATGATGGCGGTTATGGGAGGAGATTATCTTTGTTAAATAAAGACGTGTGGCTTTGGGACCGGCAGGCTTTCACCTGAGCGCTGTCTTGTTCTGTTGCCCACAGTGTACTTACAAAACGAACCATTCAAGAAGAGCCACGAGAGATAATCTTTTGACAGCTACCTCCTCCTAATTAATTTCCCGCAAGTTGCTATTTCTTTCATACAATTTTCTTGCCACAAAAATAGGCCTGTCTCTGAATAGCAAAGCAATCATTTTTTGCTTACCTATTATTTTTCTTATAGTTTTAAAATATGAGCTTGTTTGTGTATATTTAAATATTTTAACTATCTTAGCTGCTCAGTCATTATATGCAATATTAAATGTTCAAAACTCTTTATTAGCAATTGTTAAAAACATAACTTCCATGTATTCCTTAAGATAGGGCATGTTTGATATCTGAATTGTTATCATATAAATTGTAAGGCCGAAATGGGCCCTTGACTGAATATGCAAAGTTTCCCCTTAAACCACCTTGAACTAGGCAGATTTGCAACATTTTAAACTGGCACTTCATCCCTCTTTCAGCAAGCATCCTCTGCAGATTTAATGATCAGGAACATCCTTCTGATGCATGCTGGGAGATATGGCTGCAGGGTACAGACCACAGCAGACAGTGTGTCAGATGAGGCAGAACTTCTTGTTAGGGGTGAGTATGCTAATAGTGCAGTCTGAAGACATGATCACCATAAATTATCATACAAAGGAATTTAAATGCATGGACTTTGAGCACATAAGTATTGTGCACTTTACTTTCAATTTCACAATATATGTCATTTTTGTCTAACTTTTTGCCTTTGAAAGAAATTACGTGGGAAACTGTTTCTTAGTAACAGACAAAATCAACAAATCCAACTTCAGGGTCCAAAACACTCTGAGTAGCCATCAGTGCTCACTAAGTTAAGAAGAACTTAACACCAAGCAGGAGCCCTCAACAGGAGGGTTACTTCAACTCTTGACCTACGGAGGCAAACTTTGTCTGTGTGTTTATGTGTTTTTCAACTGCAAACCTAGGCTGGGGAGATGGCTCAGTAGAATAAGTGCTTCCCTGTCAAGAACAAAGGCTTGAATTCAATCCCCAATTTTGAAAAAAAAAAAAAAAAAAAAGATAACAACTGCAAACCTAGTGTCACCTCAGGCATGTTTTTTCTACCGTTAACATCTAAATCCAGCTACCAAACCAAGAAGGCTATGTGCATGCTGGTAACATTTACAATTGTTGAGGGACAGGGATGTTTTAAAAGGTTGAAATATCAAGTCACTACAAACAGATACTACAAACAGACCTGACAGTTAAGTGGTTGTCAGTGGTGAGCCAGCCCACCAAATTTTGCAGTTTTACAAGGCTGCATCTTATTTTAATTGAGCAAATAATTAAAGCATCCATTCCCATTAGCACAGTATTCCCCAGTATGAGAAATGGGGAGCCTACTTTGTGCTTCTCTTCCTTCATTTTTCTTTATTCCATCCTTCCTGTCTTCATTTTCATTCTCCATTCCCTCCTCCTTCTTTCAGCACTTAATTAAATAACAATATACCTACATGTGTTTTCTGAAACCAAATTGTACAAATATACAACTAAATGTTTAGTGACAAAACCAACACATCCTATAACTACCATGCAAATCAAGAATTAGAATATTCCAGAAGCCCTCCTGTCTCTCCCTTGTTGATCTTCTACGTTATGAATGACATGAGTTGTGCATGCTCAGACCCCTTCATAGTCCACAGGTTTTAAAAATTATAAGTGAAAATTATATTTTAGATTAATTCATCTTTTATTCATTTGAAATGTTTTATGCTATAATTATAAGGAAATCATTGCTATACAAATCTCATGTGATAAGTATATGGCATATAGCAAGTTCCCTCACCTCTTTGTTCTAGCTGCATTTATCGGCAAATGCTTATTGATATCTTCATAATGCACTCATCATTGGTTCAAGAATAATGTTTTAAATGAAGTATGTATCTGAGTGAGTAGCATCTTATTCTTTTTTGTGTGTTTGTGACTACAGAAAAAGCTGTTTGATTTTATCCAAGTTTGTATCAAGAATGTGTATTTTTTGTATTTCCTTATTATAAAACACAGAGTTTTTAAAGCAGTCATCCTTGCGTGCAATCCATTCCAGTTAGCTAAAAAATTCCTTTTGTACCCTTGGATGTTAGCAGGTGCACAAACCTGCAAACTCCTCACCACAGTCAAATTGATAGAAAGTGGCTTTCTTTGCTTAATCTAGTCTATCTTAGATTATGTCTATTTATTGTGTGCACTTGCCTAGTAATTTAGGATGATGTTTTTAAAATTGGAGCTTTCCAAATGAATAGCACAATTTAGAGACTGATAACAAGAAACCAGGTATTTTTCAGGACTATAAGGAGCAAATTTAAGTGGCAAACTAACGTTCTGCTTTGTAAGTAAAATTAAACTCAACAGGGTTTCAAATATAATTCAGGTTCAACTTTTTCATGTTCTGCTCCTTTAGCCTTTGGCTTCATGCCCAGGAGATGATAAAATGCATAAATTTTGGAATTGTACCCAATAGTAATTTCAAACAGGATGCTATTGTCTGAATATTCATGTAGCATTCAGCTCAAGCTTTCTCTTGAAGTAAGTTTGATCAAGTCACCAATTTTTGATTATATACTTGCATTACCTTTCTAAAAGGAGGAAAAATAGCTTGTATCTTTTGCCTGGCTCATCTTAGACTGATTGAAAAACAGAACTAAGGATTTGGGTTTATTAATGCTAACAGATTCTGATAATGGAAGGAACTTGATGTTTCAGTATTGCTGATTTTGATGTTGACTGTGTAAGTCACAATTCTAAATAGTTTTATACTCTTTCAGTCCCCTGTATTCCACTCTTTCATTTGCTGGTGTGTAAAGTTAGGGTGTTCCTTTAGTGCAGCCCATAGTCCCCAAAGCAAGCACTCTACATGTGGCTTTTCTAATGAATGACATCATTCTGAAAAAGAATTCTCGAAGCATAATTACTCCAGTGTGCATCCCAGGATAGGTGCAAGAGTAAGAACCGTGTCACCATCTACGTGTAGATGCCATCGCTGGACTGTCTGAGAAGTTCACTTTGATCAGTCTTTGTCATGCCTGGAACACAAGTTGGTAGCAGAGAATACATTCTTGTAATTCTATTCAAGTGGGAATTTAGGAAAAAAGTATGTTCTCCTAGATGGACCAAGTCTTATTTTTATTGTCTTGTTTACTCTTAAAGGTAGTTTAAAAATTACTAAGTGAATCTTACAAAATCCGGCATTATTCACCTAGCTTTACCAACACAGCAAATTGGAGTTCAGATGTGGAACCCCACGATGCCTCTATCATTGCTTCAGAATTTGAATATTCCTGACTAGTAGGGCTTCTTGTTATCTTCCCATTCGTTGTTTTATGGGCTATCTTTCAAACCTCACATGCTTGCTTGCACTTTTGCTTTATTTTACTTAGGGATGTCAGGGCTATTATTTGCTTTTATTCCACTATTATCATTCTTACGCAAAAATTGAATTTTTTATAATCATCTGAAGCATAAAATCACTTGCTCTCATGCATTTAATATTCAGTGAACTAGCATTATCAGAGCACCATGAATAATCTGGAAAACTACAATAGAGGTGATAAATTACTAGCAGAAACTATTGGGCTAGACTATAAAAGGAAGTTAAAACTTCCCTCTGAACATCAAGGCATGATTGTAGTCAATTATTTAAGCCTTCTATAGCAATACAGAAAGCGAGGCTGGACAAACCTAAAGGGACTCTAAAGACAGATAGAACTCTGTCATGTAATCCAGGGAAAAGACAGTTCAGAGGCAGCCTCGCTGGAGGGAATATGCCATTTACAAAGGCGTGATACTCCCAAGCAGCGAGAGAAGTGATCAAACATAATATAAAAGACTCAAGAGAAAGGTGTATTAGTTTTTTGTTATTTTATAGAAATCAATGTTAGACTCCCAGAGCAAATATAAGGGCAGGAAACTTTCACGGTTTAAAAAGTAAAGTGTGCTTAGCTAAGCTTGGATAACTGGGAGTGAGGACTTGAGTTATTTTTATTCTACTCAGAAAAAGAGGAAGTAATTAAGGGTCTATTCAAACAACTTTTTATTCGCATTTCTCTTAATTTTAATGTGAAGCCATATAGATCAAGAACCAGAATAGCCGAAGAAGAATCAGTCATTTCTTGGTTTCTTCTGAATGCATAATCTCCCTCCTAACTTGATTAACAATTTTTGTTCTCTGAACTACAATTTGCAAGATTCATTCCATGTACATTTAATTGAAAGTCACTGAATTTGAAAAGAGTATATCCTCCTCAGGAATAACTTGTTTGGAGACATTAAGTGCTCTACCATCCACCTCCAAGCCTTGCAGCCTGTTATTTAACATTCTTGGTGGGATTCAGCATGTCATTCGGTCTAATTGCCCTTACCTTTCATGTCAATTCACCTTCAATTACTTTTTCCAATAAATTTTCCTTGAATATTATTAATCTTTCCCACATCAGCTAATGTATGTACTACTACTTTCTCCAAACATAGGAAAACTGTCCATCTGCGAGAACACATTCCTAACATACCGCTCATGACTGGAAAGCCAAGCAACAGTGGTGAGCCAGCTGTCTGTGCATCTCTCCGAGCACTTGCTCTTGTGACCCAGGAGTTCTTAAGCTGGCCTGCTAAGTTTTAGCCACTGTCTGCTGCAAGTTTCCCGGTTTTAGGAATGCACAAGTATTTCCACAGGTGTCTCTGCGTACAGCATTTGCACGATTTTCCTTCCCATCTTTGATCTAGAATTCAATGAGCTCATTACACACGTGGAGCACTTCATGGTAGAGAAAGCTATAGATTCAAAAGCTTTTAGTGAATAAGAAAAAAGTTTGATAATTATAAAAACCAAACCTGTGTTTGAAAATATTTTGATATTGAGAAGAACAAAGGAAAATAACTAATATTATTGGTGTTACTTTAATCTTACTAATAGCAAATATATTTGCAAATAATATGTGATTTATGGAAAAATGTGAGTTACTCAGTTAACATAATTACTTTTATAGCATTTTTAAACTATAAAATATAAACACTAACTTTTGGAAAATATAGTCTCATTTATGCGATACCTTATTGGAATATTCTGTACCAGTGTAAAAATGTCTTATCACTAGATGTATCATTAGTATTGGATAAAATATTTAAATGTTTTATACCAGTAACTTGACTTGCTAGCTTAGGTTTTTTTTCAACTTAAATTAGTCATCTTGACACCCATAAAAATTTGATGTACATTAAGCCATTTCTTTTGTCTTCCATTTTGCATATGGTGATGTTACCCTGTGGAGTTCCTTTTCTGACAACTTAAAGTAAATGTTTTGTCAGTCAGGTATTTGAATTCACTTCATCACTCTTAGTTTGGGCAATTGAAATAATCAATTGAAGTGACCTGCATGACCAAATAACTGAAGCAAACTGTGTATCTACAAACTGCTCTTTTTTTTTTTTTTTCTGTACTGGGAATTGGACTCAGGATCTTGCGCTTGCCAGGCAAGCACTTATTCTACTGAGCCATCTCCCCAGCCCTGTATCTGCAAACTGAAAGCTACAATAAGAGTAAATATATAAACAACCAACTGGCAAAGACG